AGAAATGATAAATTACTTGGGCCCAATTTCATATACACCATTCGTAATGGTACTCATGTAAAAAATTTACCTATCAGAGTTCCAAGTTGTTATTATAGGGGATTCATATTTAAAAATAACACAGTAAATTCATTAAATAAATTGAATGAAAAAATATCAGACACTTATGAAGATACATCCTCAACATCGTTGGCAGCTTTAAGTACATGTAGGGGAGAATTGGTATAATATATACTATATTTTTATTACCTTGTAATTTTACAAGGTTTTTAGAATGAAAGAATTTGGATCTAATATTTTGAGAATAAATTTATAGTCATAACAATTTTTTTCTTCTATTTATTTGTTACTTTATTAAGTAAATATAGCGAACATAATATTTTATGAAAAGATAGTGGCGTATAATAATTTTTTTCTGACAAAATTAATAAAAGCGACAAATACAAAAATAGAATTTAGGGAAAAGAATAAAGAATTTTTAAAAAAGATGTCTAAAAAAGGAAATAATAAAGAGAAACTAGGAAAGAGAAGGAAAGAGAAGGAAAGAGAAGGAAATAAAGAAAGTTTAAGGAGGCATGGAAGATTATTCGATGGAAGAGATAAGACTTAGATAGTTAGAATGAATAATACGGTAGCAAGTCTTCGTCATAATAAATGGGGTTCCTTAAGGTGATCAGTCTTTTCGCGAATCCTTCTCATCAATTCTTTAAAAAAGCATTGAAGTGTGCTGCCGAAATTTGGCAAAAATGGAGCAAGCAATGAGATAAAAGAGTAAGAAGGATCGGTATTTGATGATTTTCCGAATTTCTGCAAGGCTGCAGCATCGATGTTATAGTTGGATGGTTCATTTTACAATGCAGGTGGAGTCCCAAAACAGAAGCTGACCCTTTAACAGAATTAGAGGTATTCCATATTTTTTTCCATCGATTCTAAATATGCCGGTTGGCTCAAGTCTAGATGGAATGCCTGTGGATTTAAGTGCATGCAAAATGATGTCATTACATTTGGAGTGCCATGGGAAATGACCTCGACAAAAGCTGCAATGAAGGCAATGTCTACCCTTACTATTAACGATGATTTAGCAATATTTACATTGGTACGGTAGAACAATTTGGCAATTGAACCGTAATCCAATAGCAAACCTTAGCTGCTCATCAGCGGAAAGCAGCAAATCGAGGTTTTTGGAGGGTATGCCAGAAACTCGTAACCACATCTTTGGTTCAGTTAGTGAAAAACTGAGATCATTATCGTGAAGGCTCGATTTTTGATAAGCGACGAGGCCTTCGTTGAGTGTAATATCCCAGTATTTCTGTGAACACGAGTAGGGTCGTAGAGTGTTTGAAACTAGGGAATTGTCCCAAATGGTCTGGACTTCCGCTGACAAGGGGAAAAGAGAGAAAATGTATGGATCAGATGAGAGACGGGAAGTGATGAATCCACTGTTAGAAAGAGAGGGAGTGAATGTTAGCTGATACCCACGATCTTGCATGGAAGTGATACTTGTAACCATGAATTATGATTAACGCGGAGATTAAGAATCTTTTCATCAAGAAATTTGATGGAAGTTTCAAATGATTTTAATGAATTGAGAAATTTGAAAATTGAGATGGCTCGAAGGTAAAGAATTTTCGGAATGTTATAAATTTTGAGATAAAATGAAGTAAGCTAGATGATGCATTCGTGAAGAAGTGATTTATCGATTCCAAATGAGTAAAGGATAAGAGTTCTGTTGTATGAAAGTTATAAGTGAATGGGATGGAACAATATATTTCGCTATTCTGCTTGATGAGTGAAAGTCCAATTGTTTGGGAGTGTGTTTTAATGATGGTCAGTGCTTTTGCGACCTCTTTGGGTGGGGGGGGGGACGCCGAATATTCCATAGTCGATGTATCAGGTGTGCAATGGAAGATCGGCAGAAATGTTTTTGACATTTCATTTATACCTATGATGAAAAGCATCGAGCTTAGAGGTTCTCCTTGTTGGATCCCTATGAAAACAAATTATTTTTGAATTGGAGATGAGATGGCAAAGAATAGCAGGAATTGGAAAGATTGAGAAAGGTGGGAAATTAATGGTATATTTGTGGAAGAAGAGATAGGCGAATGGAATTGGAAGCATTAGAAAAGTCAATTTTGACGAGGACTTTATCGCTTGAATTGTTTTGGAAATGGATACGATTAGCGATGAGGGTATTTTGCAACTCATTGATATCAATACCAAGTTGGTAGAATGCTAAATTAATGTTGCGTTGTCCTTAATTTTGAAAGATATGAATTTCTTGACAAGAAGGTTAAATACGATCATGATTGCTATTGGTAGAATGTCCTTATTAAGCTCTTCTAGTGCTATTAATTTTAAGCTTATTAGGTGTGGTGTGATGGATTCGGGAACTCCATTTAATATTTAATCACACAATGTTGTCAAATATATTGAAATAACGCTTTATTTTAAAAATCAAAAATTAAATTTATTTTCATAGCTGTCTTCAAACTTGAATAATTATTAAATTATCTCTAGATTTTATAATTCCTTTGATGAGGATATGAAATTGCAGGAGATTATTTTTTACAGCTCTTTGGTGAACTATTTATTAATTAGATCATTACATTCATAAGATTTCTTATAATTATTAACTAAAAATAATTGTTAGGGATTTACTGCTTGAGGGGGGGGGGCTTAATACCTTTTTAAGGTATATATATATTTTTAAATTCAAATTTCCAATTTATGATGTATTGAAGATCTAATACACAATCAGTTAGAAGCGAATGAAAAATTTATAATTTTAAAATATTCAGCATTTTTTGGATCAAAGAAATGCTTTTGATGATATATCTAGTAGGATAGGTATTCTAGATAAGTATTCTACACATGCTGGAAAGAATTTTCAACAAAATCCTTTAATAAATGGAATTTTGCTTTCAAAAATGTTTTAAGTAAATTTCAAACAATTGGTCATTAAATTTTGAGTCATTTAAACTTATATACTGGCAATACCACGAGCTGACTAATATATTAATAAGGCAATGCCCGTTTACTAAGTAAATGTCTAATGTGGACTAGGGTTATATATATATACACTAATTTCTTAATCTTACCTAAAATAAATAAAAGATATCAGTGGTAGGATTTTATTTCAGATGGGATGGGGAGAGGGCTTATTTAAAAAAATTGAAATATTACTTAGTATAATTTTTTTAATTATATATGAATAAACAATCAATAAAAATAACAAGAATAAGGAATAAATACATTAAAAATAAGAGTTAGGGAGGAGTAGATGCTAGGGAAATTGAAATCAAAATTGTTCACGGTGGAATCTCCAGCATTTGTAATATTTTCCCCAGAATTTGATTAAATTAAAAGGCCTCATAGCTGAAGATCCAGAATGCATTAGTGGTGATAGGGATAAATATTACTCTATTGAGGTAAAAGTATCTTTCGGAGTAAACTTGAGCTAGGACAGAATTATTCAAAACCAATTACGGTATAAGGTATGTATATGTTCGCCTTCTTGATGGCCATTAGAATTATCTCGTTTATTGCTTTGTAACGGGATTGACAACCACCAAATATTTGTGAAGGAGGGAGATGACGGCCTTTATTATCTATGGTTTGATCCCTGCCGATACAAGTGAAAGACAAGACAAAAAAGATTCTGAGCTATTTCTTAAGAGAATGAGCTAGAGTGGAGCTATGTATGGCCTCAAACTATTCGCAGCCCATCTTAGCTCTAAATATAATTGAATTATGATTAGCTTTTAGTTGGCCGGAGAAGAGAATTAACTTAACGGACAGCAAGGAGATCATCCCATTTTTTTGCATATGAGAGATAGATTTAATACAGGATTGAGGATTTTTTATACAAGACATCCAAGGCATGAGATTGCACAATAGGAATTGTTTCTCTGTAAATAAACTGGTATTTTTGATAATTTATTATTGGCTGCGGCTACGTGATGAAAGTTTTGAAAAATATCTAATTACATTAAGCATTATTTCATTCATCCTGGAACTGAAAACTATATAATTAATGAGACATCTTTAAATTTTAAAGTAATTGTCAGTTTATAAAAGGTTTTTTTTTATTGGATCGGCGATGAAATAACTTGATAAATTTATGCAAATCTTAAATGGCCGCCAGGAGACATATCACATGGCAAAAGATTTCCTATAAAAATATAAAAGATAAGAGTTGAAATATTAAACTCTATTATATTAAATATATAATTAGGATAGCTTATTTTAAAAAAATGGATTAAATTTGAGTTTAATTTTTTTTTAAAGGATGCTCAATATTTTTATATTTAATGTTGTATAATTAAATTTGCACCTACTCTAATTTGACCTGGGTTTAACTATATTGCAAAGGCCTAGTTAAACTAAAACTAGAAATGCCAAGGTAAACTGTAAATGCTTAGGTAAGATTTTTATATTTATGCCATTAATTGAGTTGAGATTCATTTTTATGATATAAACAAGTTATAATAATTTACTAGATATCTCATACACATTTTATGACAATTTTTTGTCGCATTCTTTTGTTATACTGTGATAAAGTGTACAATATCCAGTGGAATCAAACTCAAGACTAAATATGATAATTGAACATTTATCGCAGCAGCTTAGCGTTTTGCCTTCACGAGTTCTATTTTAATGTTATTTATTTTTAAAGTTGCCTTTTTTTGGTCTTATGATGGTAGATGTGTCCAATATAGGTATCAATCGATAGCTAATCTAAAAGTCTATTCAATCCAACGGAAGGTCAACCTCTTCCCCTTAATGGGCTAGTCTAGGGGGCCAATAATATTTTATTCAACACAAAATATTGATATGGGTATCAAATCTTATTTAAATATCTTATACTGAAAATATTTACTCTTAATCTTAATAGCTTGAACTTGGTTTGGGGAGGGAGATGGGGTAAAAAAATAAAAAATTGATATTGGTATTATATAAAAGATGATTAAAATATCCTTTGATAATAATTATCACTCTAAATGAGCTCGTCCCTGCTCATACCATCACCTCCTTCACCACCTATCTCAACAACGCTGAGTACTAACCCTTATTTCGCTTCTACTCCTTTACCCCTTAAGTTATGGGTTACTTCTATCAACACTATTTATTCCAACTTAATTTCGTATGCCAAGAGTTGCCAGGTCTATTTTTGCGGAAGATCTCTCAAAGATTTTACATAATTTCGATAATGATTTGGATCTTTATCAATTTGGTCAAAATTTTTACTATGCTCACTACTTGAACATATCAAAATACAAATCAAACATCTCCAGCCACATCAAAACATTTAAAACTCCTTCCCTTCCTTTTATATCCAGTAGCTGTCCCAAAATCTCCTCAATAAGATATTTTCAAAGCTAAACAGGTTACAAAAAAATAGTCTTAATATATTATGTGCTTTAAGAATAGCAACATTCAATGATTCAATCCTGATGCAGAAATCTTTGAGAAACTTAAATTTAAACATCATGCAGGCAACTTATCTACTCGTGGTCTTATTCCTGATCCTCCATTAGATTTATTAAAAATTGGAGTTCTTAACGATATCAACTCGATCAATAAAGATTTCTGGTAGTCGTCATTCTATCTATTTGCAATATCTCCTAAAACCGTTTATCCCTGCAATCTATCCCTGAAAGTAACACTAAATGGTAGTACACTTCCCGAAGTTATCCATATTTTATTTGCCTCTTAATTGCCTTAAAAAATCATATGGTGGATTCCTTCTTATTGCAATAGGCTCTCTTTTTTGTTGAATGCCTGCCAAAATAATAAGCTCTAGAATTTGATGCCCTTGAGACATGTTTTAAACCCCATTAATTTGACTATTGGCGGTTATGAAGCAGCCTCTTAGGTCTCTCATTTAATTTCACAAACACATGCATTCTTAAACTTGATTATAAAAATGCTTTTAATTCTCTTCATGAACCTTTTTGTTCCTTTTTTCTCAAAATCTTTGAATGTATCAAGTTAATATTGAATAGCTAATAGCACAAATCATTCCACAAATAACCAAGATTATATTGAATCCAACAAGGTTATCCCTTAGAACATTTTCTCTTTTGCATAGGTATCAAAAAAGCATTGACCATAACAGAAAAGGTTATTCTCGACTACAATATCTGGTACACTTAGATAAAAGTGCATTAGTATGCGATTTAGACAAACTACTAGATGTTCCTAAAATGATTAAAACCTGTCTTTTGAAATTGTTTTATCCCTTATATAATCCCACGATCCATCTTTTAAAATGCAGATCAAATAAATAATTCATTTAGGCTCTCCAATTAGTAGTTCTGACTCAGTCTTCTTTCTTTAAACAATTCATTAAATTTTACTTTGGTTTCAATGATCTGCTATACAAATAATCCTTTCACTATACATTTTCAATAAAATATTTTCTCTATATTACTAAAAAATATTCCATAGCTTTGGCTCTCCTTTGTTTTAGCATGCACAGACATTTTAGTCAATCATGAGGCTCAGATAAAACAATATCTTAAGATATTATTAACTTAATATTCTCTCCTTCAGGCTTCACTCCCATCCCAGATGGTCTTGGGATTCGGTCCCCTATTAATCTTTCAATTGCCGCTTTCATATCCTCAAGGCTTTCAATAAATAAGTTAATCACTTAGATAGCTTCTCAACCTGATCCAAATTTAGATAAGGCTCTTATTATCTTGTATCTTAATAAATCTTCAATATCAACCCGTTCTATGTCAACCCTTTAAAATGTTATGGATTTTCCCGAATTAAAACCAGAGGACCTAACCAATTTTAAATTCGCAAATCTTAATAGTGGTTACGAATAGATAGATGTCATTTCAAGTCAAAACCTAGGCTCCTTTTCTTCCGAACAATTGACGATTTTCATTGAGCTACATACCTGGTGAAATATACTTCCTTTGTCTGCTCCGTTTGTAATACACAAGTGAAAAAAAATAGTCATTACCTGAATCACTGCATATTTTCTGAAAGCTGCCATCCTAGGCACAGTGTAATAAACAATATCATTGATAAAGTTCTTAAAAGAGCCAATATCCCATGTTCCTTAGAATAGGGTTAAATTCATTGGTCGGTAAAAGAGTAGATGGATTACTCTGATGCCCTGGGAGAAAGGCCTTCCCTTTGCTTGGGAGTGGGTACTGAAACAAAGATTATTATTCAGGAAAAACAAGAGAATAATAATTTTTTCTTGATTCTATTGTCACAGATCATTTCTTAATAGTAAATTTCCCTGGGGCACGTCTGATTACTTGTTAAAATGCCCGTTTTTTCAATGTTTTTATCCATTAAACTAACTTTAAATGCGGACATACATTTTTTTCTAACTATACAATAAAATTTGGCGAAAATATATACAAAAAATTGAAATATAATTTTTATCATTTTGAATATATTTTGGAAATATAAAATGCATGTTTGTTTTCTTAACATTTTTTATAATATCTCATGAAATTTAACATAAGTAATCCACAAACATAAAATATATATATTAGAAATAATATTTTACTATACATTGGCGGTTCAAAATACCTGGGTTTGGCGCCCCACTAGTACTAGTTTACTAAGTATGATTAAAATAATATCTAGATACCAATATTCGTAAAATTTTCTCAAATTTTGAAAGAAGGGTCAAACTTTATTATAAAAGTTAAATTATATATTAAAAATTTTAAAATTTACTAAAAATGATTACAAAAATTTTCCAAATTTCACATCCTATCTCATAAAATTTAATAGTTAATTATTTAAAAATATCTATATTAGCGCAAAATTAAATGAATATTTTATAAATTAGTTATTTACTTTTTTTTTTAAATTGCCAATCATGGTGTATAACTTTTTTTGTCCTATAGTATCTTTTCCAAACACATAGCGACCTCTTAAACAGGGTAACTAGATTTTAATAATTTTTCCAGCATGTGTAGAATTTAGAATACCTATACTAAATATTTTAGTCAATTTTACGCAAATTGACTTTAACATATATATTTTAAAATTATAATATGAGCTTGCAGTAAGTAATTTTTGGATTAATATAGACCAGTACTCTCCACCTCGAAGTAAAAATTTTTGGTTATGATGACTCTGATTTAAATAACAAAGTAGTAATAAAATGCATGAAATAACAAAATAGAATCGTAGATTCAGTAATTTCTATCGTGAATACAATCCCAACATTTTATTTTTACCAATATATAACTTTATTTTGCTGGAAAAACTTTATTTCTATTTTAAAAACATAATAATATAAAAATCATATAAATGGTTATATCATGCCCAACCATTTTTTAGTTGGATTCCCAAAAAGAAGCCATAGTTATATTTGAGAATACCAATTTGCATTCTTTTCTTGCAGAAATAGGAGTTCTCTTGGTTCATTAGTATAAGAGGAAAAATGACCGTTTGTTACCCAAGGAAGAATTGTAGAGAATCTAACTGGTCTCAAACTACCCCCTGATAATGGATTTGTACGTGAGTCCGACTTATTATTAGATTAATTGAGGTATGACGTTGATGTTGGCCTTGATTATGTAAACGATTAAGTGCTCATGTCTCCCCTTAGATGTGACCAAAGTTTTGCAATCATTACAATTGTGTGGTTAGACGGTGACACATCTTAATCGTAAACCTATGACAACTCTCAATTGTTCATCTGATATTACCAAGGTTTCGACTGGGAAGGACTTCAAAACATTCTTGATCCCCTAGTCTGTCATCAGACTGAAGGAGTTGTATCAAATCGAAGGGGCGATTTGATAGTGTGTCGGTAAGAAAGTTATCAATAAGGGTTGGAAATTTTTTTATGGTTAATAACTGATGGATAAGGGAGTGTTTACCTGAATATTTTCTTTCTATATATTAATTGCAGTCTAATAAAAGGTCAGTTGGCAAAATGAAACTATATATCATAGAGTTATCAATCTAGATGTGATAAAAGGATAATGGTATATTTATTATAATTTTAATTATTAACAGTTTTTATGACAGACTAGTTTGTAAAAGTATAGATCCTAGAAAATATTATAAATATATTTTTTATTTTTATGGAAAGCGTGGATACATTAGATCGGATGATGGGTCTCATTATTATATACATCCTGTGTCCTCAAAAATTATCCACAGAGTAAAAAGGGCCATCTTAGATAAAATATATCGTTTAAATACTTCAAATATAACACGCTCATCTACAACTAGAAAAAGAAATATACACAAAAAAGTTCATGGTTTTTTAAAAAAGTCAATTAATCCGCATATCGTAATTCAATTTAAAAAACTGAAAGATCCAAATAATAAAAATAAACTACCACATGACGAAAATGATATGATTTGCCCGCTAGGTAATATTTATAAGAAATCCGTCATCCTTGATAATTGTGATAAATTAATAGAAAATTCATGAGAGTAAAGATTTGAATAAAATTATTAAAATACAGATTACATTTTTGAAGTGTGAGAATAATCATTAATAGATATTATTATATAAAATAAAATAAACCATGAATGATATTTAAAATAAAGATCATTTACATGAAAGCTACAAACACATCATAGACCCACTATCGTTTTATAAGAAAATCCCATTTGAAAATAATTCAAATAATATAAATAAGAGAAACAAACGTGCTCCTAAAAATATAAATTCTGATGCCACTGTTGAAATAGGATTATTTTATGATGAAGACCTTTATATGCAAACTCACTTGGCCGAAAATAGGGAAGAAAAAATAATGGACTACGTTTTAAACATCATGAATGCAGTAATGTAAACTTTATGAAATTAAATATGAATTTTATTAGGTCGGATTGTTATTAATACATCCTTCACTTGGGAAAATACTCTATGCTACATTGGTTAGATTAGAAATATTTGAAAAGCAACCCGTATATTAATAAAATTGAATTTCTAACTGTAGTATGTAATATAGGACTCTTTAAAGACAAAAGATGCCACTGCCTTGTTAGACGCTTTTAGAGAATTTCAAATGGATAGTAATCCAGTACATGAATTTGGCAGTAGTAAAAATTGGGACAATGCTATCCTTTTGACGGGGTATATATAATTTTTTAAAATACACGTATAAATAACATAAAGAATGAATATGTATCAAAATATTTATGCAAATGGACAATTGAAAAAAGTTCAATCTATTGCAGGTAAAATACCAAAATATCATAATTATCCAACTTCTTGAATTAATTTTAGGTCTAGCAGGAATAGGAACTATGTGCCATAATAAATTTTCGGCTAGTATTATTGAAGCTAAAGGATACCGAAGCGCTTACAGCATAGCTCATGAAATGGGACATAAGTATGTTTTAATCTTAAATATTTATTTATAAACACTTATTGTGTTAGGTAATCTTATTAAAATTAAATTCTTAGGTGAAATTAATTTTTAATAAAAAGAATGCAGTAGTAACTATATATTTTAGGGATAAATAACAAGTCCAAACAATATGATCAATAGAACGGGTGGGGGGGGGGGGGTTGAAAAACATGTAAAGAATAATCTATACATTATAAAAAGTCTCTAAAAAATGAAGTCTCGGAAAGTAGAAAATATGTACTATGTAGTTCTGTAAACATTTTCAAAAAAAAATTCGTTCGTGTTTGTCGTTCATTGGCAAAAATCGAATTTCGCCTCAAAATTCATTTGCAAGAAAGGAAAACTGAGCGCCTTTGCATTCATGTAATATTGTTCAAATACCAAATATACAATTATTTTCGATAATTTTAATTTGTATTATAATTATATCATTTTCTTCTTTAAAAAATATGAAATTTACAGTAGGTAAGTAAGTGAATAGACTATCTTGGCATAAATTAAATTATAAATTTGAGGAAAAAATTAATTTAATTCAATTAATAGTTTTTTTTTAAAACATATCTCAAAATCGTGAATATAAAAAAATTGAAAAGAAAAAAATGAAAGGAAAGGGAAATAAAGGATTATTATGAAGGGTAGGGTATAAAAGGTCTAAATCTGCCTGGCTACTCAGGAAAAAAAACCCACAAAGCATATGAAATAAGATTTTATAATTTGAATTAATGCGCTGACTTAAGTAAATGCCTTCTTTCTGATCTTCTAATTTAATCCTTATGGTTCTGCCGAGCTTTTTAATTAGACTAAGCTCCTGGCTTCCAAAGGTGTTAGGGATATAGTAATAAATGGTATTAATTTATATTCATCTATAAATAAATATATTTGTTATTTTTAAGTCTTCCGTGTATATGTAAAATCAATATTCTATCCATAAAAATATTACGCAAGTCTGAAGAATTTTCGCATGGGTAATATTTTTCTGGCTAAAATATTGAGTTATCCATTTTAAAATCAAATCGAGCAACTTAGCAACACTACTCCCTGAAGAGACCCGGGGTTCTTGCATTTGAGACAGTGACGATTAGATTGACGTACTGGTTTCTTGTACTAGGTGCACTCATAATAGAGGCTGTGAAATTTAAGTTAATGATCACTGCGAAACTGAATTCCTGATTTGAAAGCTCGAGTTCAAAATTTTTGGATGGAATGGCATATCGGTATTCAAAACCAGAACCTTGGTTGAGAGAGGTTAGGAAGGCATAATATCCTAATAGCAGGGTCGAAAAGAGGTAATCAACGCTTGCAATTTTTGGATTATCTCAATCTTTTTGTTTATGAGAGGTTGGAAGTTGGCATTCACTGTCGTGAGGGTTTCCATAAGATTAGGCTTTGTCAAGCAGCGCATCTGGCAAGTTAGGTGATCAGTTATTATTTTGAAGCTTGTCAATCTGGACGAAGCCACTTATTGATAAGACTACGAGTTATCATAACTCCATACCTCCTTTATTTCAGATTAGAGTAGCTTAATGCCACGAATTGGAGTTAAAATGAGATTAGTTATTTTTTCCATGACGTTTTTTATATTGGATTCATGTGCCAAATGACCGTTGACTGCAGATCATAGAGGATCTTCTGTATATTAATAAAAAAATTTATAAAAAAAAGATTTATATGTAGGAAGCTGTATGAGGATCTCTTCCATATTGTTTAAATTATTAAACGTAGCTAGAAAAAAGTTATGAAATAAATAAATACAAAATATAATAACACCATATTAGCCGTTTTAATATTTTTATTTTATAGAATATAATATGTGAAAATTTCAAAATATAATATTTCGGCGGCTGAGGATTATTATAGTTATCTATATTCACATTTTCCAAATTTTTAAAATTTATCTGTTGAATTTTCTATAGAATAATTTATTTTTTAGTTTATGCTTAAGGAATAGATTAGATAGGCAAGATCTAATTAATATAATCTTGCTAGAAAAAATATTTTTATACTTTTTAAAATATGGAGATAAAACATTATATTAAATTTAACTTCGAAATTTAAATAAAACTTCTATCTCCAAAAAATATCTATTAAAAATAAATCCTAATCTTTGTAAAATATAGTATTTTTGAAATTTCTGAATGAATATATTATATTTATAATCATAATCAGGAAAATATTTTAACCGAGTTTTTAGATCAGGAACTTCTTCTTTTTTATTAGACAGATTTTGCTTAGATTAATCCTTGGAATATTTAGGGTAACTATAGTGAGATTAAATAGTTGGAAATGAGTTAATTTTAATAATCTTTCTTTTTGCATACTGTCCACGATTATATCTTATTGGAATATTTGATTTTTTCTTTTCTTTTATTGTAAAATAGGAAATAAGTCGTTGAGGTATATCTAACGTTTACATGATAATATTTTGCAAACCCAAATTAGTATTAAGATTATGTAGAAAATATGAATAAATATAGTTCTTAAAAAATTATTATGTTACGTCTTAATTCTTTTTTCAGTACATCTCATTATATTGAGATACAAAGATGTACTTTCTTATCACCTGGTAATGACCAAAAATTCCTTGTTAATATTATAAGGCAATTGATATATTGGTCATAAAATTTTAAGTTATATTTATTTATTCTCAATATGATTTTGATTATCTTCATTATTTATACACATTTACAAAATTGATTAATTTGATTATAAATTTTAAATATTTATATTTACCAGAGACCTTCAGAACATTTGCACAGCCCGGATTTTTTTTAAAAAAATTTTTAGGCCCCATCCCGATTTTTTTTAAATATATTATATTTATTTTTAATTTTTATCTAATAATGGCGATTTAAAACATTCGGTTTATGAATATACGGCCCGGTCTGGATAATTTTTAACAAACTTTAGATTCGACTCGGGTATTTTAATTTTTTTAGGCCAGCCCTTGTACCCTGGCTGGGCTTAGGGCCGGATCTGCTGGTCTCTGATATTTACTTATAAACAGTATGAATTTGACTATCTTTATTTAGACTATCATTACTCACGCTCATACTGCTAAATTGATATTAATTTAATTATTCTCATAGATTTAATTATTTTCCTTATTGATGCTATCAGTCTCATTAGTCAAACTTACTAAATTGAAATTATTTAAATATTCATTTCGTAATATAAAATATAATTACTTGACTATTCTCATTTGGAATATAACCTAATTATTTATTTTAATATGATATATTGTTTATAATCAAATCTAAAAATCACATGATTTTTAAGTATTCTGGTTGTTTTAAGGATTAGGATAGGACATTATAAAAATATAATTTTTTTGTAAAGTGTTGTTAATTTGCTTGGTCGTGAAATTTAAGACCTAATTTGATGCTCAGGCCTTCACCCGAGGTTCAGACCTGTGTTTTTTTATGTTTAATTTCTTTATTTATATTAAAAAACAGCATGATATATAAATCTATATAATAACATTTAAAAAAGAATAAATAAATTTAAAATCAACATGGGAGGGAGGGAGGCAAAAAAAGGACTCTTATTGAGAACCAAGAAAACTAAGATAGTTGCCACGAAATACAGCGATTTGATTTGATTGTAACATTTAAAGCAGATCCATGATCACCATTAATTTGGGAAACTTTTTTACCCAAAATCTTAAAAAAATGATAGCCTCGGAGGTCTAGGAACCCATCAGTAGAAATAACTATTGGGATAAAGTGAAAAACAGAAAAGTCGTGTTACTTTCTAATTTTGACCTTTCAGCTGTAATAGTCGGATCAATGTTTGGGTTAGAGGAAAATTGGGAGACACAAGTGAAAGTCCAAATAAGGTGTTTTCTTCTAAATCCGGAATGTTTGTGAGCCAATCTGGTCTTTTCCCATCCGACAGGGATAAGTGGACGGGTTCCAGAAGGTTAGGATAGTTGGCAAACCCTAACTTGCTCAAGATTATAGAGTTAATAGTCCTATGTCGACTGAACCGGTCTTTAGAATATAAACAGCTTAGACCATGCTTGCCTATAGGGTCGGAGTCTTTCCTGCACCCTTTGCATATAGTAGACATATGTCATAGCCAAGTCTACATCTTATGGTCACCCGTAGCTCCTCGCCGGATAGCAAAAGACCGAGATTGGCACTAGGAACCGCTTTAAGCTATTCATGGTCTGACTTTTATCCCAAGTATCTAAGGATTGGAGTGTCTTCAAGTGGGGAGGGGGGGGGGTTAATTCCCATTAATTTCTTATAAACCAGAAGGGGATTAAGAAAATCTAATCTCTTTGTGCCGAGGACTTTGGAAAAGATAAGGCATAAATATTTCTATAAATCACAGGCAGTTTCAAATAGCCTATCGCTAACCTTCGCAAAAAAAAAGAATAGAAATAGTGATTTAAAAACCCCTAATTTCTAGTTTTAAATAAACATGGGGAAAAAATCATGAAGCATTACCATAAAAAGAGGGCTAAGAACCAACTCTCAAAATTTTACTGAATCCAAATTCTTTTTTAAAACTAGGAATTTATTAGGTGATAGATTTAATCATAAATTTTTTTGTATCAACAAACCTAACCAAACCAATCAAATAATAAACGTATTGTAGCAAAATGAGTACACTAAAATGTAACATAACTGTCTATTTATATAAAATACAAAAATATAAATTTAATATAAGGGAAAATAATTTTATGTCTTTAAAAAGAATCGCATCCAACTGGCACAGGCAGGATAATGTGCTGGAATTGCAAGATAATCTCTGGCAATTTTCGATAATATTGGATATCTATTTTGATTTAATTTCTACCAGTCTATTAGATTTGTATCATTAGTTGTGACTTCATCATCATGTTTTCTTGTTTCTAAACTATTATTGTTATGATTATGTTAGCTTGATATATTTTATCATAAAAGGACAATTTTTTGGATTTATTTTCTGTTTCATTTTTATATTCCGTTGAATTGAATATATTTATTTTATAAATATTATATTATTCGGTTAGGTATCCAATGAGAGTGTCTATACTTTTATCCTTTAGGTGACTTAATATTTTAAACTGTGGGTCAATCCTTGTTGATATAATATAGAGGTGTTTATTAAAATTAAAGTATTTATCAAGCTTAGATAAGGCAGCTAAAGAAGCCCTCTTTAAAATAGTAATAAGTATATTATTATAACTCTCAACATGCTCAAAAATGCTGGAATATAAAGAAATAATGGTTGAAACGGATGGGTGCTTGCACATGAGGCTGTAGCAAAATTAAATGGTTCCAGAAATTCTTGATATATTTATATATTATTCCATGCTAAGGCACTAATATAATTTTCTTCATTGGTATTTTGTAAATGATTGGTATATGTTGTCAAATGGAGTTTGAGCAATATTGTCATTTCAAGCATTTGGTATGTTGAATTCCAACGTGGTGGTATTTCCAAAAATTTTAAGGTTGGATTTTTTTCAAGAAATATTTTTTCGAGTGTATTAAATTTAGATATAGAAATTTTACAAATTTTCTTATTTTTTTTTAAGTTTTATTTAAGGGATTTAAGGCGGCCATAACAGCCAACTGTATAAAATGCCAAAAGCATTTGCACACATTATTTAAATTAAAATTATCTTTTTGATTAAAATTTTTAGAAATGCTAAATTATTACTTGCATTTTCTAATGTAATAGAAAAAAAATCAATTTCAAATTTTACTTTTATGTAGAATTAAAAATATTATAAATATTAATAGAACTATGTGCGGATTTAAAAGGAAAGAAATCTAATAAATGATTATTTAATTTAAAATCAATATAATGAATTGTTATGCCCATAAAGGGTATTTTATAGGGAGAGAGAAAACCATATGTTCATTGTTAAGGAAAATTTAGATGTAATGTTAGAAAGTACAGATTTTAGATTGTTAAGAGTTATGATAATGTTTTATAATTTCTATTTTTAGTGTTTTTCTAAAAACTAAAGTTAGTGAAAGGTTACAATATGCTATTAAATTTTTAAAAGGGATATTTTCAACCTTTGAAAAGGCTGTTATTTTGAATAAAAAAGTCTATAATTAAATGATTTAAATTAGTTTTATTATTTATATTATTTACTAAAAATGATTTTATTGTGTTAACTTTTTTAATTTTATTTGTTCGTTCACATTTCCTATATGATGTTGGGTGGATGGATTTAAGTGTCCATAACCCTGAGGTTCCAAAATTGGGAAGAGTTATTTTTTTTCATTTATTACAAATAGCCTTCTTGTTATCGCAACTCGTATAAAATTCCCAGATTTTTGCTGTATTTCGTTTTTTATGTTGATTGTTCTTGTTCATTATCGTTATTAGTATCATCATTATCTATTTTTTAACACTATTTAGTCTTCATTCATTATAATATCCTAAATGAATAGATAAAAATTGACATCATATAAAAAATTTACTTCCAATAATAAAAATAAACTAAAATTATAAATTATCCAATATTGATATCATAGTACAGAAAAGTTATTATTTGCACTAAATAATCGGATGTAATAAGTTTAGGCAATTTAAATAAAGTAAAAAAATATACCACGATATAATCTATCAGAAAATAATCTGGTATATGTGTTGTTTTTTAAAGATATCCTGCCTTTTCTTTGTCAATATATTTTCTCAAACTGGAAATAAGTTCAAGCTTTCTACCTTCGTTTATAATTTTATCCAGGGCTAATCTAATTTAAGCAGGGTGTGAATCATTGCTGATTAGATGTGTTCGAATTATTGAAAATAAATATAATTAAAATATAAATTGTAAACAAAGTCTTGCTTGCATTAATAAGTTGCTTACAAAACTTGAAATTATTTAAAGCAATTTTTAAAAATTTTAATATTATAATAGTTATCGTGGGAGTGAGATATCCCAAATATTCTAAAATCGAAAGAACAGTAGCAACAGGTTCCATAACATATAACATCATATATATACATATTATTTTAAATTATCACTAACTATATAAAATTGGACTTGTATTTTTTTTTTAAAAATGGCTGCACAGTTTCGTTCGACACTACCCAAGTTTATTCCACAATTGAAGAAATATTTGATTTATGAAACAATTTTACAAATTGACTTTGTACCCTTAATTTATTTTTTTATTGGTATAAAAACTGTTTCATATTGGGGCTAGGGCAGGTTAAATCATCTTCATCTGAAGAAATATATATCATTGACATAATATTCTTTATAAAATAAATTATAATATTAGACAATAAGAATATAATTTAACATAATCTTGATTGATTCAATATTAATTAGATTAACAATCTTGACTGAAAATTTAAAATAAAAATGAAGAAATTTGGTGGTTGGTCTGACTTAAAAACTCAGCTAAAATTATTTATAAAATTTAAAAAATAAATAAAAATAATTATAATAAGATAAAAGTTGTTTTTTCCATATTTTTTAAAAATAATTAACGCGTTACCGGTACCGTCTAGAAGAAAGTAACGAATGGCTTCTTCAGAGAAGGTAACGAATGGCTTTCCCTTTCTTCAAAAAAGATAACGCCGTTAGTATCGACGTTGCATTTAAAGTTACTTTACAGTACTAGTTTATATAAATTAAATAAAAGATTAAAATGATAATAAAAAATCTAAAATTTCATAAAAGATAAATTTTTAAAAATGAGTATTGAATGCTACTAAGTTAGGACTTTTTCATTTCTTTAGAACTTATAATTTTTTTGTATCAAAATATAAAATGATGAGTAGAAATGGAGATATATCATTATAAATAAAATACTAGATAATTAAGAAATTTATGGATAAACATCATTTATAATATAGATAGATATAATTTAAGGAATAACAAAAATCGTTCTATATAAATTTATATCATTTAAAAATTTAATTAATTTACTTAAATTTGACATATGTTTAATATTACGAAAATAAGAATATTCATATATATAAATGACAAGATTTGCTTCTTGTTCTAGAGATGCTCGCCTTAAGATCCCACCATAAATGCTCAATACGACGAGTATGGGTCTATCTATTATTTGGATCTATAAGTTGTAACTGTGATTGACCGAGTAATCATCATATCCATTTTCAATAAGATTGTTATATCTTGAAAATTTTTTAAGATTTATCAATATTTAATTTACCCCTACCATTTGTCAGTCATTAGAAGGGTTTCTTTATCCCTTTTTAAAGTTTCAGCTATAAAAAATTTCCCATCATTTCTTGATATCTCCAAATGTCATTTGATTTTATTCTAATATTTTTCCTTTTAAAAATATATTAAAAATCGTCAAATAATGGCCTCAATAAAATATATCACACCACATATTTGTTTTTTTAATAAAATAATATTTAAAAAAAAAAAATAAATAAAAAATTTTATTAAAAATTTCCCTGGATTCAATAACTTACCAATATAAGAATAATATAAAAATGTAAATTTAAAAAATCCTAAACTTTTTTTCCTAAAGAATAAATTTATTGAAAAAAAAAATTCATTTTGTTAAAAAGTGAATATTGAACACAAATTTTGCTATTTAATTTTTTTTTTCTATTAATTTTAGCAATTGTTTTCAAAATTGCTAAGCTAGAGAGTTTTGTAATTAAAACTAAATTTTCTATGCTAAAAAAGTTCCACCGGAGCTGAAAATGGTAATGCTTGTTATAATTTATGAATAAAGGTCTAATTTAAGGGAATTTAAGAAAATATTAATGTTTTATTTTTTAATTTTAAAAATTTCAATAACAATCGTCTCCATTAATTCTTCGTAAAAATAAGAAATTTCACTATGTTCTGATTCTACATTAATGTAATATAAAATAATCTATTCACGAAATATATGACTAGGATATAATTGAAAAATTACCTTTTATTCATTTATAAATAAGCAATTCTACCAGAAAATAAAAATAAGGCTTTACTTTTTACTTAAAATGATGAGAAAAGTCAATTCACTATATCAAATTTCAATACAATAGTTTTGGCATGGTACACGATGGAGTTAGTTACGCTAGTCGTTGTGAAAATGAAGGATTTATTATGTCACCACACACTGGAATGGGAACAAATAAATGGTCTGAATGCAGTAGGGAAATAATAAGTGATACTTTGAAGTAAGACCCACATATATAGTTTATCAAATCGATAAAAACTTATATTAATATTAGATATTTTACATGTTTGTATGAAACATCGGAAACACCATGGAAATTAAGTTTTCCTGTGCAAAATGTTCTGCCTGGCCAGCGAATAAGCGCTGACCAACAATGTGAAGCTTTTGTAGGAAAAGGTTCCAAAAGATTTAAAGGGACTCAAATTGAAGTTACATTATATAATTAATATATATTTATAAAAGTTACATAATTATAGACTATATGTTATTATTTGTGGTGTACTCAACCTAACAACGATTATTTTGCATATGGTACTCATCCAGCGCTGGACGGAACATATTGTGGTTGGAACAAAGTTATTAATAATTTTTAACTTTAAAAATAAAAATCTCTCATATTTTATTTTGCATAAACATAATAAGTTGTCTATATGTGAATTTTTTATTTTAATAATCATTATAGGTAATAATTTGATAGTATAAATAAAAATATCTTTTAGTTTATCTCTTGAAAATATCTAAAACTTTATATCTTTTATTGTTAGGAGTGTTAACCTAATAACATTTTAGGCATACACATTGTGATTTTCATACATCATTTAATAAGATATAGACTTTCGTTATTATTCCGAAGGCTCCAATTAGTATTCATTTATTTTAAGCGAAATAGTATCTCTCAGTGCTTTCCGCAGAAAGGTGGAGGGGATAAAGCTAAAATTAGTAAATTTCGAGAGGGATAACAAAGTATTTTAATTTTTTAGATTATTAAATCATACGTAGGAGATACGAGATCTTATGATCTTGGAATTATTGCGAGCTTTGTCTAGAGTACTAAACTCTAATGGTTAATTTTTTTATCAAAAATATATACAATATTATACATATACTGTCATAAAAAAAATTTATTGGTACAGAAATAAAATTTTTAAAGCACAATATACCCCAAAAGTAACTTTTTCTTATCCTGCAATTTACAACAATATAATATTGGGGCCAAAATTTAACAACCGATCCGCTAAAAAAATTTACGAAATGAGTTATAAAATTATTTTTTTCGTTAAAACAATTAAGTTATTATAACCTTTTCTTTAAAAAAATTAATAATTCACCAAAGATAAATATTTAATAATCATAATTGATATATTATTAGGATGTTCAGTTTTGTCTAATCAATTTTATAACTATATACTATAAAATTTTAAAGTATCAATCAACGCGTTTATACAATTTTAAAATAAAACGTAGGTTATCTGGATAATAAAAAATTAAAAATGCGTTATAACAAAAAACGACGAAAAAATAAATCGAAATTGATATAAAACAAAAATTTAATATAATTTTCCCCTCTGAGAAAACCCTCATAACATTTGTTAAGTTTGTTTGTAGTTGCTGAGCCTTGCTGGTGCTATATGATGTAATTTGTAGCGTCGACTATCTCAAGTTGGTAACATGTTGTTTAGTTTGTATTGTGGTGATATAGATAGTCATCATGATTTTAAGATTCACTTATAATTTTTTTTATTTTACTTCTTATATTTTGCTTTTTATATTTTACTTTTACATCTTATTTTAACTTCATGTGTTATTTATTTTACATTTTTCAATTCAAGATTTAAATTTTTAATATATCCTCGGCCTAGAATTGGAGTGCTCCACTTGCGCAAATGTTTAAAATGAGAAAATCAACATTAAAGTTTAAAATCAAAGGAAAAACTTATTGATCAAAATTACTTAAAAATTTCAGAGATAATTTATCATATTGTTAATTAATTATTGCCTAAAAAAATTTTGCTCAGAAAATTTAAATATAAAATTTATTTGATAAAATCAAATGCAAGTAAAGGAAATATAACACTTTATGATTTTTTTTTGATGTTCAAAATGCTCCATTTACTTTTTATATTAAAATTTAATAAATATATTTTTAATAATAACTTCAAATTATAGAAATTAATACTATATATTAATTTTTTTCTAATTTATTCATGTAAATGATGATATTTATCAGGAATTCATGATAATTCATCACATTAAATAATGTATAATTGAGTCCCTCGAAGTACTCCTTTAAAGAATCTTTTTGCCTGTTTCCAGTATTTTGATATAAATTTTTAAAGAAATAACTAATATGTTTATTACTTAAGTCAAATGTTTGTAGGAAAAATTATCTGCAAGCTCTAATTTTAACATTCACAACTTTAAAAAAATATAGTATGAAAAGTTTTTATAATTTAAAGAATCTTTTACCCTTCTCTTACATGGAGTTCTAACAATAAATTTGCAATAGAAGGATCCTTTAGCTTCATCAGCTAAGCTCTAAAAAGCCTCATGAATAATTTTACTCTGATCTGCATTAACTTTTTTATGACATTGAATTGTACATTTATTAAAATGATCATTCTGAACCATCCTTTCTATTTTCAAATCACCTTAATTGATATAGGTCTCACCACATTCTCTTAGTCTTTTCTTTCATTTGATTCGATTCTAGAGTTGAAGGTAAAATAAAAAGAAATCTTAATATTTAAGATATGAAACCCCAGGCTTGCTAGAATTGATATTATTACATAAAAATGGTTTATTATAAAGATCTGAAATCTTCAGTAGCTTCATCAAATATATCTTAGAATCTATATTCCAAATTTCATATTTGGTTGAGTAGCTATTAAGATATAAGCCAGAGTTATTATGCAATTTTTTTTATAATTATCTCATTTTTCAAATTATTTTTATCATTCATTATCATGTCAAAGAAAAAAAAGGATGTCATAATGCTATCAACTTTTCACTATAATAAAAATGTTGTTAAAATAATTCAAGCAATGAAATGATGGCATTTTATAATATGATTAAAGGTAAGTTAGATATGGTGTATGATCAAAATATGAATTATAATTTTAAAAACAATTATTAATAAAAAATTTACTTTGACATTAAAATAATTTAGGATAGATATGGAATCAAAATATTTTACGATTATGGAAAAGCCAATAATTAGTGTTGTTAAAGTTACTTTTGAAACATAACTAGTTACAGTTACGAGTTACATTGGCAAAAATATAAAGTTACAGTTACTAGTTAATTTTTTACAAATGTAACTAGTTATTAGTTACAGTTATTTTACAAAAGTAACTAGTTACATTATAAGTTACTTTATACATCATTCATATAACGAATTTATTTACTGAATGAATTTATTTAATATAAAAAAATTATGATATACAAAATATAAACATTTGTTTAAAAAAAATATATAATTTATTTATATAAAAAAATAAGTAAACCGAAATATCGGATAATAGAATATTTATATTTACATCGAATAAAAATATTCTATATATTGGCATTGTAAAAAAAACATATTTATTTTTCATAAAAATTTGAGTTTAATAAATGTTTATTTGCTTTTAACAACAATTGGATTTCAAAATTTTATCTAAGAGACGCGCTCGTCTCTCTCCAAAAATGAGCTTCCCTATTCTGAATAAAAGCTCTACAGGAGCACTTAATGTTTTTTTTTCTCTTTAGCTTTCACCTTTTCTGGTGGTAAGCTCCTTCAACATCTCTTTCCACTTTATGTTATTAATACAATCTCTTTTATCTAATTTATACTTCCTTATATTGGCTCTAACTTTATGGCCCCATTGAAGTTTTGGCCTTCCTCTTTTACGTTTGCCCATCACTTCCAAACTCTTTTAACTTTATTTCCTATGTAGTTCATAGGCCTTCTCATTGTGTGCCCATACCACCTAAGTCTGTTTACCATTAACTTAGTCTTAATGGGCACTACCTTTAAACTACTTAGTATTCTTGTACTGCTCACTTTATCCTTTCTTGTTACCCCAGCAATCATCCTCAGCATTCTCATCTCCATGGTTTGTAGACTTCTCTCGTCTGATTCTTTGGTTGGCCATGTTTCCGAACTATATAGAATAGTTGGTTGTATTATGGAACTGTAAATTTTTCCCTTTAATTTGTGTGGGATTCTTTTATCAAATAGCACTCCAGATAAAGATCTCCACTTTAGCCACCCTTGATTAATCTTACTCTTTATCTCTTTTTCTATTGTGCCGTTTGTTTGTATAGTGGAGCCCAAATATTTGCAGGTTTCAATTGCCGATATCTGCCATTCATTTATATAAATACTCTCTGTTTCATCTCCTCCTATCACCATATACTCCGTCTTTTCTCTATTTACTTTTAATCCGTGCGTTTCTAGGATATTTATCCAACTCACTAGTCTTTCTTTCATTTCATCCTTAGATTCGGCAAGTATCACAATATCATCTGCAAATATCATATTCCACGGGACTGTTTGATAGACTGTGCTAATACATCTATTACTGTAATGAAGAGAAGTGGGCTGAGAGCCGACCCTTGATGAACTCCTTCGGCTATTGTGAAGCCTGCTGAAGTACCTGTTGTGCTACGGACCACTGTTGTATGGCCCATAATTTTTCGGGAACATTTTTGTGGCGTAGCGCCCACCAGATAAGTTTTCTTAAGATTCTATCAAAGGCCTTTTCTAGATCGAGAAAGACCATGTGTAGCTTTTTGTTCTTTTCCCTGTATTTTTCACTCATTTGCCTAATTGCGTGGATGGCATCGGTTGTTGATCTTCCAGGCATAAAGCCAAACTGAGTCTCTCCTATTTCGATTATATCTCTTAATCTTTTTTCTATTATTTTTTCGTATAGTTTTAGACAGTGTGACATTAGTTTTATGCCCCTGTAATTTTGACAATTATGTGGATCCCCTTTATTTTTGAAGATAGGAACTAGATAGCTCTGCCTCCATTTTTGGGGAACTTCTTCATTTCCAAGTATCTTATTGTATAGATTTGTGAGGAGATGTATTCCATCATCTCCTAGTGGTTTAAGGCTTTCTATTGGAATATCGTCTGGACCCCTAGCTTTGTTGTTTTTCATATGCTTGAGGCATGTGATTATTTCTTGTTGTGTTATAGGTTAACAACATTATATTTAATAAAGATTATTTTTAAATTTGGAAAATCGTCATATAAAGATAATGTGCTGTTATTGGATTTAATAAAATTTTCAATTAATTCATCATTATCAATAATATTTTGACGCTTTAAATCAAAAAATCCAACTACATCTAATGATGTTTGTTGCGAACATGAGCCATTTGTGTTAGATTCATCGCAGGTTTTAAAGTATTTATTAAATTTAAAATTTCCATCTTTTTTGATCTATTCTTTTCTTGCCTTATCCAAGGCCAATCAGTTTTAAATAGTGGATGAAGAATAGCAGCAATTATATTATCATTATCATAAAGATCATGAAACCTATATCATTGTATTATTAATTTATAAATAATTATTTAATTTAAGTTACCTTTTTTTAATACTAGCTAATATAGCATCTTTTAAAGGTTGACAATATTTTAATTCTTGAACACCTTCCAGACAGATAAGTGTGTTATTGTTGGGGTATAATAACCTAGACAGGGTTGGGCAAATTTTCAGTAAATTGTATTCGGATACAGATACAGATACTTTATAAAATTTTGTATTTAAGATACAAGATACTTTAGAAAATTTTAATAAGATATAAGATACAAGATACTTGTATTTTTTTTAAAAAAAGTATCTACGATACAAGATACTTTTTTAAAAAACTTTAAATAGTCAAAATCAAAATGTATAAAGCTTTATTTCCTTATCTATAATATAAATTTATAAAAAAATATTTAAAATAAACTGTAGAAAATAACAAATTTATTATAAAAGATAATGTGATATTCCATTTAATAATTATATAATTAGTAAATAAATAAGAATAAATCAGCATCATAAATCAGCATTATTTTTTATATTATTAATTTTTCAAATGATTTATCGTTCAATCTTTGACGATTTGGTCTATTAACCATATTAGCAAAGCTAAATAATCTTTCAACGGGGGCTGAGGAGGGTAATATTGTATTATATTTAATAAATATTTCTTTTATATATTTATAACTATTTAACATATTTATACTCCGCCTGTCATCTTTCATATAATTTATGACCTCTATTTCAATATCATTTATACAATTATTAGAATTGGATGTGGTACTTTTAAGGCTAAAGTAATCATCATCTTCATCAATTGAAGATTTTGTTGAAGTATTAAATTCAATATTATTTTTATAAACAATTAAAACTTCATGTAATAACAAATCCTGAAGGTATTTTTTTTCTTTTTCACCATCAATCCAACGATTTTTAAAATAGGGATGAGAAATAATTGCCAAAAATGCACTTTTAAAATTGTTATCAAAATCATATATATTTTTTAATCTTTTATTTAAATAATTTTCTATGGCAATAGCTAATGGTTTGCAAAATTGTAGAATGGTTTGAATTAAATTTGTAATTTTTTTTAACGACATTTAAAATTGGAGCTGATTCTCCATAATAGCAGTTGATTTCACTCTGAATTTGTCAATCGCTATAGCCAATGGGGTCATTATATTGCAATATTCTTCTAAATATTGAATTTCAATATCTCTTAATTTAGGAAATTCTAATTTTTGACATAATTTAGGAAGTTCGCCTTTAAATTTTAATAAACTATGAAGACTATCATACAAACTATTCCATCTAGTGCAACAAGGTGTAACTAATTGTTTTCCTAAAACTGCTTTGACAAATTCTGCAGTTTTAGGCCTATTATTTGCATTCCATAGCTTAGTGCATTTAGCTATTGCATGATGATGAATTTTAGAAATGTTAGGAGAATCCTTAATAGCTCTCTCGACATCTGTTGTGGCAATTAGACTTATCGTATGGCACAAACAACGAATGTGTTGAGGCAATGTTATTGAGGCTTCTTTAGACCCTTAAATAAACAAATAAATAATTTTATTTGAATAAAATTTTTTACTAAATTTACAATATCATAATAAATTTTAAAGAAGTATTAAATAATACTTTCAATGATTTCGAATTCTATACATTCATCATCATTGATGTCAAAGTCATTCTCTAAAGCTTCCATAGAATATCCAAACTCCTTGAAAGCTTTCTTAAAGTTAGAGCCGTTATCTGTAACAGTTGCTATAACTTTTTCGTCAATACCAAAGTCACGATGAATTTCTTTATTATGATCATCTTGAAGTACTTCAAAAAATTTGCCATTAAGTATGCTTAGTTTAAATTTATTGTTATAATTTTCGGTTGAAGAATCATCTGAAGACGAAGATAAACATATTATTCTATTTTCTTCTTCCATAATTTTAAAATAGACAGATATAAAACGATTCAAATATGGTAGTTCTAATTGTTAGCAAATTCTATATGACGACCAACGTCATATATCAAAAATTATCTTAAAATTTTGATTAAATTTTTCATTTAAATCTTAAAACAATATCATTTTAAATTTTAATACTATTTAAATTAACCAATATAAATTTTTTTTAAAGTATCTGTATCTTTTTGAATACAAAGTTGGTTAAGATACAAATACTTTTAAATAATATGTATCTTAGATACTGGATACAAGATACTTTCCAAAATTTTAAAAAAAATATAAGATACAAGACACATACCTTGTATCTTAGATACAAATATCCGCGATACTGCCCAATCCTGCCTAGATACATATATTTTTCGCCTTCTAGTATATCAATAGCTTTAGCTACTGGTTGAATAATCTAATTTTTTTAATTTTAAATTATTTATAAGACATTAATTTAAATTTACTCTGCAATATACTTTAATAAAATCACGATCTTGTGATGTAAATCTACACAATTCTAATTCATCACATAATAATATTTTAGATAAAAATGTATAAAAAGAACCCCATCTTGTTACAATGGGATATGGCAGCCGAGAATGTAATCTCTTTTTAATTTGCTCAGCTGATAGCCCAGATTTGTTTTGTGTATTCCACAAACGTTAACATTTAGATATAGCAACCTTATACACTTTCCTATAATCCTCATTGTTTAAAAGTATTCTATTGGCATCTTGTGTTGCCACTAGGTTTAATATGTGACAGAAACATCTTCGATGCCTGGGAAAGTAGTCGAAGTCATTTATATTTTAATTGTTTAGCCCAGAGGAAGACATTAAATCTTCTATTGAAATGTATTCAATATCTGAATCATTATTTTCCTTATTTAGATTTATACATACATATTTTTAAAAGTAACTAGTTACTTGTTACTTTTGGAAGCTACATTGGTAAAAATATAACTAGTTACAATTTTTATAGTTACAGTTATTTTTTAGCAAAATGTAACTAGTCAGGTGACTAGTTACAACATACAAAAAATTAAAAAACGAGAAATACATGTTATTAAATAAGATAATAGGATAGACCATGAATATGAAGCAAATAGCGCAAAATTGACAGTGCTATAACTTTGGCAAAAATTAATATTTTTTAATCTAGTTTTTATTTTTATATATATTGGAAATAAATGAGTTATTATCCATTTCTAACTCAAAAATTTTGAAAATGTCGAGTGGAATTTCCAATTTTAGACCGAATATTATATTTATTTCTTATATTACATTAAATTTATATTTTTAAGCTGTCATTTACTTTCCCCTCTTCTCTGTTGATAAATAGCCGATTTTGATTTTTGTATGGCTCTTTCGTAGAAAGTTTTATACCTTGTTTACTTGGCAGATGCGGACCCAATTGGAATACGCCTGATTCTATTTTGCGCAGCATCGTAAAATTTAATCTTTGTGTTTTCGGTCTTGGTTAAGTGTTGACGTTTGAACTTCTTTAACCGATCGACGGTCTTGATACTTTACTTTTGTTAAAATCTAATTAACTTATTATAAATTAAATTATATATTTTTTTTTGCCCTATTTTATATTATGTGCTATATGAATTTTTACATTTTTTTTTTATAAACAAAATTATATATTTTTAAAACATTAGCTATCAATTTAATAATTATGGACGGGCTAAATATTTAGTTTTTAGAGGTGAAAAAAAACTCTTTTTTTGGACCGAGTCCTACCTATGAATTTTTTTGAGATCCCTGAGATTGCAAAGAAACAAGTCATATGGAGGGCTCTAATACATTAATTACTATCTTTAAAATTTATATTAACTATTATAATATATAAAAATTGTTATAAAATTTGTTTTTTCCATCATAGTGTGAACGCTTCTGGTTTAAAATGAAAAACTTTGAAAAATAATCAAAACTTTTATAATTCATATTTAAAAATTATATTTTAATAATTATAAAATTCAGATTATGATATAAATTAGAAAATTTTGGTGTAAAATCTTTAAAAAATTGTTGATATCTCTTAGAATATAATTGATATCTTTTTAAATCAAAAAGTGGTGCAGTGGAGGAACTTGTCAAAGTTGGCCATATAATCATGGTTCTGAAACAATAAATGGCGGGTGGACAGAATGGAACGCAGATAGTGGTTGTACATATAATTGTATGATTGATGGATCAGGGGTTTATTTATGGACAAGAAAGTGTGAAAACCCCTTGTAAGGATATAATATAGTATTTATAATCTAATTTTATATAGTGCCCTAAATGGTGGTGATGATTGCTTTGGCGAAAAAAATTCTTATGAACTATGTGATCCAGATATCTCTATAATTGAGGTATTCTATTAGTATTCTATTATTTATTCTTGCTATTATTTAGAGATGTGAAAAAGTTACCGTACAGCAATATATAGATGATACATGCAGAAAAAAAAGTACGAATAATACTCCATATGTTGGAGGATCCCAATATGCACATAATATTAAAGGTTTAGTATTTCGTATTATATATAAAAAATGCACTGAAATTATATACATTTGTATAAAAATATGTTTACAATGTCATACCCTAGACGTAAACGAATAGTAGCTCTCAATTGAATATCTGATAAGAAATTAACAAGGTTATGTAGATAGTGATTCTAACCATTAATGACCACCAGGTCTGTCAGCCCATTAAATGAGTTTTTTACAATTTAAGGGGTGGATTGATTGATATAGCTGTTTAGAAGTTTAGTATAAAAGGTGTGAATAAATTTTGTGAGTGATGATTGATGGAAAAGAAGTGTTCTCTCAATTTTGGCTACTAATAAATACGGTGGGGAATATTAAGTTGGATATCATAGAGTTGTTTGTTAATCTAGATGATAAGGATAAAAAATCGAGTGGAAGAAGTCGAAACTATCCGAAGGTATTTGGGCGAGTGACCAATAAAAGGAGTTAATTAGTTTGCTGACCTTTGTAAGAGGTTTAATAATAGGATCTTTACTCCATTATAAAAATCTATTTGTAAAGTTTTCATTATCATGGTTAATAAGGTTTTTATATTATAATTTTATCAGGTAGGGTTATAGAATTTTCACATATCTTGAGAAAATAGGCAATGAGATTCAATATATAAAAATAAACGGTTTTAATCTGATAAGTACATCAAAGTTTTGAAAGGTCATAAGATATGTAAGAAATAAAAATATTTAAAAAAAAAATTAATTGATTTACACAACTTATAAAACTTCAATTAAGGCCAGTTTACTTTCACACAGCACACGTCATACATCATAGTAAGCGCAATCACCCTTTATCGCTATTATGAAATAGCAGAGCTATGCTTGGACTATCTCATCACATCTAATTGGGTTAAGTAATTGGGGGTACTTCTGAGATGAGTACATCCACAATTGTTGGGCAGGCTGCAGTTACATGTGCGCGCAAGGGGCAAAGCCGCTTACTTAAACACCTAAAGAGGAAGTGAGAAAAGAGAAAAAGGCCTGTACCCGAAGCATATTAAGTTATGATATTATAGGTGAGATTGAGAGGAGGGGCAGAATTTTTAATGAAATCAATTATCAGGTAGTGGATGGCAGCATCTCTATTATTTTGAGCAATTAAATGAACGATATGAGTATATTTAATTCATAATAAATATCGATATCTTTATATATTTGGTGGGGTTCTAGCCTCCATTGACAAATTTATATGAGGGCATGAATTATTATATTTCCAAAAAGAAAAAAGAGTGAAAAAGTATTGCATTGTTTAAAATTATAATTTATTCATTATCTTGAAATACATAGGTTTTAAGATCGCACAAAGTAGAAAACTCAGATTTTATGCAATTAATAAAGCTTATAGCCTAAGATAATTTTGAATTAAAAGAATGGTTGAATCGTACTGTAAGTTTATATCTAATAAAATTCTCCTAATAATGTCCCACGAGTTGCATAGGAGACTTGTATAAAATGGGTTTCATTCTACTTTATAAAAACGGATATAAATTAAAGGTATATTCTAAGCAAAATTGTATAAAATTAAGTGTTGGTATTCTCTATACATATTGGAATATTTCATATTTAAAAATCGCTCATAATAAAAGATTTAAAATTGATAGATTCCGAATCCCATTACTATTAAAGATTAAATATATTTGATTGATATTGATTTAATGCATCTTAGTTCCTACACACGCGTGCCATGTATATTGTCAAAGAGCAGATACAGGAGAATTCGTACCATCAGGCTTACTACCAGATGGATCGTTATGCCATATAGATGACGAAGGAACTAATTATTATTGTGTTTATGGTTTGTGCAATAAACCTATTATTGGAGCCAATGTAAAAATATTAAAATTTTTAACTAATATAGTTAATTTCATTGTGTAGGAACTTCCATATTGAAAACAAATACATCAATCACAATTATACCTTGAGCATGAAATATATAAAAAATACAAATGAATTATTCAATAGATAACTAAACAAAGTCAAATATAATTTAATAAATTGAAATCAAAATAATTGTAAATTATAAGGCTCAGTTTTTTATTTATCTTTAAACCAGGTCAGGATTTTTAAAATTTTGACATCGAATAATTATGGCTGTATTTTTTTTATTGTTTCAGAGGTCAATTGAAAATATGAGCGGCAATAGATCTATTATACGATTTTCTTAGTTAATATAATTTAAATTTATTTAAAATCAACTCGACCCAGCCCGTTTTGTAAAGAACATTTTTTTTTAGACCTGGCTTAGGTTTGTAGCTTCTTTTTTATGCCTGCCCGGATGAAAATAATACTATTTAAAATCTCGCTCCGGGCCGGGTTCCGTTTCAGGCCTCTGGAATATCTTTTTAAAATATTTATTCCATTTAATCAAGTATTATACAATTGGTGCCAATATTATAAATTATTGACGATATTGTAAATAAAATATTACTTCAATATGAAAAATTTATTAAATGTAGAAAAATCTTAGACCTATTCTGCAAAATTATTTTTCAAATATTTATATGCAAATAATATAGGTAGTTAATTTATATTTTTCAAATCAGATCGAAGTTTTAAAAAAGCTGGTAGAAATGAATAAGCTTTTTTTATTGTATGATATTTAATAATGTATTTTTTTTTATATGTTAGATAAATAAAAGAAATCATAGAATAAATATAATACATTGACTTACAATTTTATTTATTAGAATAGTGATAATTTTCTTTATGAAAGATAATAATTATTCTTTCGATGATATAACTTTTTAATAGTGAATACCTAAAATCCTTTTAAAAATAGCTAGTCATATATTAATATATACTACAATTTTCTAAATGATGGGATTGATCTAATCTAAATTATAGGTTATATTCAATTATTAATGGCCTTTTAATTTTGGAATAATCAAATATAAATTAATAACATTGACGATTAAGTAAATTTTACCACTCAGTGGAGAGGTCATATTTGATCCTAGTTTGGGATTTTTTAAAAAATAAAAGTAGAAATAATCGTACATTTACCTACCTACAGTATCTGGATGGGAGGGTGATAAGGAACAATTTGCCTCCATGGTAGGGTAAAATAAACACTATTTGTGAATTTCCGATAAAAAAAACCTTTTAATTTATTAATATATATTTCTCACTCATTTACAAACATTTTAGTAGTTTGAAATTACACACTCGTGACTTGAATGTTTAGTAACAACTAGTTGATTATCACCAGCCAATTAAATGCTCGTGGCTAATATTTAGAATATGATTAGTAACAACTAATTGATTATCACTAACTAATGATCATTTGTTATTCCTGGTCTAAATAATCATAATACCTGAGAATTTAATTAGGATTTTTTTATATGGGTAGAGGTACATTTTGTAGGGGGTTGCTTCTAATTATCTGTCATGTAGACGCAGCCTACATAATATTTCATTGTCAACATGTTCCTAATGATTTTTTTTTTAACTATTAGTCAATAAATAAATAAAATAATTAGCAAATGTACATCGAAGAATCTAAAAGAAAAGTTATACCAATTTTTTATTTCTTAATAATGATTTATCTTAACAAACTAATTTTAAAATTTTAAATTCCTATTTATACATGTAAAAGATTTTGTTACAGGTGAGCTATTTCTTGACTGTAGTGTTAAAACTGCTAAATCCTAAAAGTCGAGAAAATTTGCAAAAAACTTAAGGCAGGAATATATGTTTTTCAAAATTAAGATACCTTTGAGTTTAAACCTCGATCGAGTCTAAGATGATAGTTTCGCTTAAAATTAGGTTTTTCCAAAGTTGGCTCAAAGCCTGCTAAAAATGCAGCTATTAATCACCACTACTTATAAATAAAGAGAAGCGGTAGCCTCTTGTAAAATTGAAAAATAAAACCTTTTCATCTCTATCTTTTATGTGGCTATAAAAATAATTTGAAAAAGATTTGACTATATAAATTTATTTTATAACAATAACTAGAAAAAAAGGATTCAAATCTAGCACTTTTGAAAAAATTTAGCGGAGGGGCTCATCCCTTTCCCAAAATTTGGAAAGGGAGCTACAAATAAAAAATTAGCGGGGGGTGGGATCTTAGTCTTATGAGATACACTCCTGACAAGATTCCATAAATGTCTTTATAAAAGGACATATAAAAACAGATCTAAATTTTGAATTTGGTTAAAAAAATATCATCGAGATTTTAGGTGTTATTCAATATGAAAATCTACATTCAACAAGAACAATAAATTTAAATAAGATAACTTATGAATCATAGCAATTTTTGTCAGATCAGATACTAAAGGCCCTCTTTGATATATTGGAGCCGATACTTTCAACCCAAAAGGCAATCGGCAGAATGCAAACAATCCTCTATGCGTCGTAATGGTTAATATCTTACTTGCTTCCTCACTTCTTTAATTTGTAGGTAGGCATTAGAAAAATCTATCTTGGAAAACATTGTTGCTCCCTTTAAATTAGCCAATAATTGCTCTTCTAGACAACGGATATTTCACATTCATTATCCAAGGATTTACTGATACCCTATAGTCTATGTATAGACTTAAACTGTTATCCTGTTTTCTTACGGGGACCAATGGTGTCGCCCATACACTATGAACTATTGGTCTTATCATACCTTCTTTCAGCCATTTGTCTAGTTCTTTATCTATTTCCTCTACAAGAAAACGGTAATCTTCTTATGCCAGAAAATTTAGGCCGGTAATTTTTCTCTATTCGTGTATCTACCTCAAAATCTTAGCGTACCTATTCATCTTTAAAAACCTCATTGTACCCAGTGGCCCCTACAACGAGGGTGGAGGGGAGGGGGGTCCGAAGCAACTTCTAAAAATTTGTGTGGGGGGTACTTCTTTTTTATTAAAATTTAATTCTTTTTTTGTTTTGCTACATCCATCCATAATCAAGTGATCTCTAGTTTATGAATATAATAATAAGACCCTCCACCTCCATTTGTTATTTAATTTAATATGTATTGACGTAAATTGGTGGATGCTTAGTAAATTAGGTTGTTATCCAAGATTTCTTGTCATAAAATTATTTTTCCAATTTCAAAATATGCCCAAAAATATTCAAAAAAATACAAATGCTTAATTAAAAATTACACATCTCATAATATAAGAGATGATAAATGGACAGACCACATTAGAAAAAGACATGGTGGGCTTAATTTTAACGATATAAAGAAAAGCTTTGTAATAGTAGCTTTTTTCCATATTGGCTCCATGAATCTACCCCTCGAATTCCTAGTTGGGCAAAACTATGATGGTGCCTCAAACATGAGTGGAAGAATCAATGGAGTGCAGACTTTGATTAGCGCGGAGGCGTCAAAGGCAGCTTTTATTTGGTGCTATTGTCATCGATTAAATTTAATCATTGTTCAATCTTGCCAATCAATTAAAGAACTCAAAAATGTTTTAGGAATATTAGATGAGATTTTTGTATATTTTAATGGCGTTAAAAGATATGAGGTGCCCAAAGCATGTCAGAGTAATGTACTGAAAAATGGCAACGATTTCTACGCATCAAAAATACCACTCAGTAATATTATCTTATTTGTTTCGATTTAAAATGTTTATTTTATATTTATAGAAGCTGGCAATCATCATAAAAAGTAATTGTAAATTTTTTCCTACTTTATGATGCTTTGAGGGCAGCTTTGTATTAAGAATTCTGAAGATCCTGCCACTTCCACTATGGCTAGTGCTATAGTCTTTAGAATAGAAAAATTTTATTTTATTTTGTGTTTTGGATAAAATATTGTTGATAAAAGCTTGGCTTGAACAAAATTATAAACCATTTCGAAGTATATTTGGTTTGCAATAAATCAAATTCAATTGGCAAAAGATTGCCTGATTAATTTGAGAAATATAATTTAAATTATTGTCATTATTTTTTAATCCTAATTGATAAAAACATTGAATTTTTGGATGACAAGATTTTATGAAGGAGTTTTGAAAATTCTAGACTTCAAACATTCCAATCCAAAAAGGAGAGGTATATACTTTCATCATTTTTATTTTAGCTTTAAAACCAGTGTTTTATGCTGCACTTGATTTTTGATTTGATTATTATGCAGTTTAATGAAAGATTTAATGATGAATCAATGAAATTTTTAAATCAAACATCATTTTTTACACCAAAGGGAATGGCGGAAAAGTCAATTGTAAAAATGAAATAGAGGATATATGTGAATTTTATCATTTAAATTTAAGTCAAATTTTTGAAGAAATGTTGAAGTTTCGAAATATTTATAAGATGGCTAAAACAGGGGAGTAAATATTACTCGTGATCTAGAGGTTAAAGAATCTAATAGATTCTGAGAATTGTGAATTTATTTAATTAAAATATTTATACTAATATATTTAGCTTCTTCTTCTGATGATGATAATTCTGAGACTTATGATTCAGAACTATTCTTTTATTTTACCTTAGAGTCTACTTTTAAATTTTTCTGCTTTCCCTAATTTAACAATTTTATATAAATATTTATTAACCATTCCTATTACCTCATGTACTGCCGAAAGGGTCATGAGTAAAATTAAATTAATTAAAACAAGATTTCGTAGCACCATCATGAAAAATTTATTTCTCAATAATTTAACCACTTTATCAATGGAAAAAAATTTATTTAAACAATTAAATATTGATGAAATTATAAATTCTTTCGCTTTCTCTTCCCCTAATTTATCTAAATTATTAATTTAAAATATTTTTAAAGTATATATTTTTTTACATTTTATTTATATTATGTATTCAACTTTTGATTATGGGTGTCAAAAAATAATTAAATATTTTTTCGTGGGGGAGGGGGGGGGTACTTTTCAGGGGGTATTCTGCTTCCATCCCTCAAAAAGTGTAGGGGCCACTGATTGTACCTATTCAATATATTCTTTATTACCTTGATGAAATTATCCTCAAAATCAAGTTCTACC